TGGCAATATTAATATACCAGTCTAACTGAAACATGCCCGGCAGAACGAGTCCTGGAAAGTTTGTTGTTTTGGATTTTTTTGTTTTTAATATAGAAATGTAACTACTGTAGTGCCTAACCTGCATTCCTGTAAGGCAATTATTTTTACCTTTGAGATAGGCTGAATTCTACAGACCTACAACCACGAATAACAATAGATTAGGCCTCCCTGACCAACTGTTTTGCATAGTTATAATTTTTTTCTTAAAGCTAGCAGAGGAGTAACATCCATGGCATGCTTAAAAGATGTTTTAAGAACAACAGAACAACGAAAAAAAAAAAGAAAGAATCATAGGACATAATCTGACTTTCAGCAATATGTTTCATACTTCTAACAGAAATGCTTTATATATTTTTCATTTTCATTCTCAAACATTATTCAGGTAATTAATGTTAGTTTATTTCTGAAACAATATTCTGTTCCTGTTAAGTAATATTTACTTAGCATAGAAATTGTTGTATGCTTTAAAAAATGCAATTAACATTATTATTTTAAGGGTAGAGAGGCACACTAATCTGAATATCCCCTGTATGCAATATTTTTCAAACATAAATATGGAAAATAAAGTGAAAATTTTCTGAGACATCTGTATTTATCTCAGTTTTGTTGCATGCCACAAGATGTATGCATAAACAAGCAGTATCTTTTGGTTTGTAAATAAGTCAGGATGAAGTAGCATTTGGGCTTTAGTCATTAGCACATGAATTGGAACTCTTATTATGAAATTCATCATCAGGTTTACTCCACAGAACCCTGAAGTACTTTGAAGTAAAAACAAATTCTAGTGAAAAACACACAGGATACTGACATCTGATTTTGTGACCAGGTAAGATCCAGGTAATAGTACAAAAGACTTCTCAGCTTCTACTGATACATCTCAACAACGATGTAAAGCAATGACTATCAGAAAAACATTTCAATTCTTCTATTAATTTTGCAGGAAAAGATGCTAGACCCAAAATAGACTCCAAAGGGTAGGGAAACAGATTAGCAAAAAATGCAACCAACGCTGCTTTTTCTTTGAAGGACTCAAAGCAGCAAAGTGACAGCAGCAGAACTGTGGTATGTATGAGTGTGGCAATTCAGACAAGTATCTTACAGAATAGAGCAGACAGCTTTATTTAATACTCCACTGGGATTCCAGCATTCTCAGTGCTCTCTCCAACCTCTTGTTTGCTTTAGGTGAGTGAATATAGACCATTTTCATTTGATGCCACTTCTATGAACAAACCAGACTTCACAGAAGTAGCTTTACATTCTCCTCCTTCTGAATGACTTGTCAATTTAAAAGCTGATTGTAAACACTTTCAAATCGTCTACAGTTTAAAGTGTAGACACCAGATTTGATTAAGTGCTAAATCCCAATTAAGTGGAAAAATATGCTAATTCAAGACACAGTTACTTTTTCTGTGAATCTTGTCCCATATTATGTTATTCTTACAAAGCTAAATCCATAGAAATATCATTTTTCATCCCAAACTCACATCACATTTCTGTACCAGCTGGTTATTTTGTGGTTTTGACAATTTTGACATTCCAGGGCTGCCAACAAAGCCCAAGGGCAGGAGCAACAACCGTTTTGTTTGCTTAATCACGTGAAATTTCTCAAATTATGGCTGATCCATCCAATTCTTGTAGTACCAATTTCACCTTGTCTGTGACAGTCTGCCAATAATGAATTGTCTGAAGTTACAGGTAACAATGCAGCAGTGTTTCCACTGCATGTTGTTACACTACAAATACTAATTATACTCAATAAAAACATCAGAACTAAATTTTGCAATAAACAAGCTTAAAGGCCTTAACACTGCTCTCTTAAATAATAGTACCACTTTAGTCTTCCCCAAGTAATAAGATTTAAACAATGTTTTCTGTTTTAAAGCAGAAACACTTCCACTAGAGATGAAAAAAATTGTTTACAGCACAAAGACTAAAATACAAAATGGAAAACTATCACTAATGAAACCTCTTTTTATCTCAAAAGCTGGTCTTGAGTTCAAAGACTAAGCTGTTCCATTTGAGTCCATTTTTGGATAGGAAAAGGGTAAATCCAAAATCGTAATCCTCAAGCTCTCCGTTTTTAGGCTAATATAAGAAACAGCTGATGTCAGAAGCACGACAGCTTAATACTTTACTCATGCAGATGTCTAGAAATAATTTGGTTTTGACTGGATTCTGATTACTTTTAAGTCTACATTAACATCTACGTTATTTCTTTCAGACCTTGCTTGGGACTTAATCTGTAGGTGTTCCCTTACCAGCTGGAGTTCTACAGAGTTCTATGCAAACTTAAGTTCTATGCAAAACACTAGTAGTCCTTGTATTTGGGGGAGATTAAAAAATATTATTAATCCTGCACCTGTATTATGTGCAGGTATTTTTATGCTCAGTAAGTCACTGGTTAGGTCACTCAGAGGCAATCAGCACTAAAGATCTTCTTCCCACACTAAACAGATCAGCAACAGCAGTAGTCTCTTTTATAAATATTCTTCTTTCCCCTGTCTGACGTTGAAGAAAACAGTAGGAACAGAAAGACATCAGCTGTTGCATGAAGCTGTGTTTCCCCAGAACCCAATTCACATATCTTAGCTTGGCTGAGCTAAGCAAGCTGGGAAGCAAAGTTTCCTGGGCAAATACTGAAAATGCCTGGCCAAGACACTAGCCCCACTTCTATGATGTTTGATGACCAATATTTAAAAGATCACCTTCACAAAAATATTAGATTATTAATAGATGATTGAAAACTTGAAAGTTGTGAGCAGGATCCTTGACAAGCTATTTTAAAGAGGTTGATTTCTGCCTTGAAGATCTGTTACAATTTTGGTGCTTCACTGTGTTGCTTTGCTGAAACAACTGGGCTTGTAAAAATGACATTCAATTTTAACAAGAACTTCCATCTCCCCTAATACAGCAGATCTTAAAGAATCAGCATTTAAAACTGCAGTTCTCAAAGACAGTTGGAGTGGCAGCCTGCAGGACTGATAAGCAAACTTCTCTATGGCTGCTCTTGAACTGCCCACGTCACTAATGATCAAGCAGGTGAGACTCAAAATGGAACAAAAAAATTTCTTCCCCCACCCCACTATTTAAAACTCTACAAGGTGTAAGATGGAGAACTGAGGATGGGAAAAATGAGGGGAAGGGAAAGAACAGCAGCAAATACACCAGATCTAGGCAAAAAGAAAATTGCTTTGATGTAAAACTTGAGAATCATAAACTCTCCCCTGCTAATTTTGGTATCAGGAGTAAGTCAGAAATGAAGGTGGAGATGGTGAAGGAAAAGAGAAATTGCAGACACACAGGGAGCACTGGGGAGCATTCACACCCAGAACAAGTTTGGGTACCTGAAGCTTCTGCAGATGCTTTGCTGTTCTGGGAATTCAGATAGTATAATTTTAGATGTTTAAGTGTAGATTATAGAGGTAAATTTTCACTCATGTTTGGCTTTTATTAACTTGGAAGAGTTTTCAAACAGAAAAAGTTTTCAGACCATTATCAAACTTGTGTCTCCTGCTACTGGAAGATGCGGGAATGGACAAAAAGCTAAAAATTAACTCTACCTAAAGTATCTGTCTTCAGCTATTAGTGTCTTTGTTTTGTTTATCAGAGCCCCCTAACTTTTCCTCATATCACTGGTGCATAGAAGATGACCATTTTATACACAGCATATTAGCAAAATCTGAGATTTTTGGAATAAAACAAAACCTGCCAGAGGAGACATACTACTTCAAAATCCCATCTGAGGCAGAAAAAACTGCTTGCCTCTCATTGGGACAGGGAAGTGAATAAGACTTGGAAAGAAGACAGGAAGACAGGAGATTGCATTTCAATGAAACACTTGATTTTTAGGTTACATTCATGTCTGTCAACAATTAATTAGTGCCAACATACACCTATACCAGATTGATGGTGAAACATCTTGCAATAATAAAACCAAGTGTTTTCAGAGAAGAATCTTTTTTGCTTAAAATATTAACCTACCCCTCTATTATTTTTGAAATACAAATTCTAATATCTAATTACACTATTGCGACGAAAGACTAACGGCATAAAAGCAGGCTGTGAACTACTTACAGAAGACAAATTTTAAGTGCAGCTGTAAGCCACAGTATCTCTACAGTATCACAGAGGAAAGTGTGCTGCCTACTGATTCTGGAAGAAACCTCTGAAACCATCTGCTTAAGAACAGGCCTGGTAGACACTACACAGCTAAGAGTGTATGAGTTTGGTAACCAGACGGAAGAAAACATCCACTGAGCACATGTAGGAAGAAGTTATTACTGGTGCCATCATTTTATAGCAATTGCAGACTTCAGTTATGTTTAATTGAATCATTTCTCCATGCCAAGAAATACAGTAAGAAAATAGCATAAACGTTTGAATTTATAAAGAAAGAATCTGCAATGCTAGCTTCACATTTTTTCTTGTTCAACTAAAAAGCTAATGTCTGCCTTCCTTTGAAAACAGAAGTGTTTAGTACTGTGCTTTGGCTACACCATTTCCACAAACCAATCTAAATATATTTAAAAGAGCTTCTGTTAAGTGCTTTTATGGAAGCCCAGGAAAGCATCTTTCTTTGCCTACCTGTGAACAATAAAAGCTACTAGACTGAAGGCAAACTTGAAGCCATGTTCATCATTTCACATTTTTCCTCCAGTTTGTCTAGCTGCTTCTTATGCAAACCATCAGAGTTCTATTCCATTATAAAATCTGCATGCAGCAGACACTCACAAGTATGTAACAAAGAACATATTTAAACTGGAAGTAAAAATAATGCATTTTACTTCCTTATACCCTAAGCACAGATGTTTCCAATGAGTTTTTTAAAGTTTGGCATAACTATGTAGGAACAGCTTATGGCCAAGTGCAGTACACCTGAACAGCTTCAGAGCAATTTTGTGTAGCATGCATCTCCAGAAAATTAGTATTTTGTACCTTTAGGTAAGGGTGTACATACTAACCTGCCAAGGCCGATCCCAGTCAAGAGGAATAGGAAATGCTCCAAACCAAGCTCCAAGTATACTGCACAAGGAAGTAATCTGTAGACTGCTTTCCCAGATGGACATGGCTCTGTAAAAAGTGTTATAAATTTTTAGCAACAGCAGAAGTTACCATGGCAGAGACTTAGATCAGATTTCTTCCAAAATTTTTGAGGCTACGAACAGATATAAAAATTCACATATTTGATAAATAGCATGCAGGCTTCTCCTAAAACATACAAACTAGAAGTAAAATCTAAGTTGCATATTTTAGCTATAATTACAATCTTTTTATACCACACTTTCAGGATTTTCTTTTCTTGAGATGCTTACTGCAAAAGCTAATTTATGTTACCTGAAAATACTCCTATTGAGCTTGAAACACTGCTGGACTGAGCAAATAAATCTATCTCGATAACTGTGTGCATTGCAGGAAGAGGCAGACATGAAAGGTTACTGTGGAACTGTACAGAAAAGCACAAGCACAGTCAAATGACTCTGTGGTGTAGACATATCTGATAACTACAACAATTCGAAATTTAAAATAAAAGTCCACTATGAGAATACTGCTAAACAAGTTTCCATCAACTGAAAAGAATCACTGCAAGTAAATGTAATTGCACATTGGAGCCCTTCGGTAGTGGTGCATCCAAGTTCAAGTACAATGGCTGCAGGATAAATTTTTTGCATGCTAAAGAACTCTTACACTACCAGTCATGGCACACATTGTAAGAGACATTAAGTTACTTCCATTCTCAGTTTATAGCCTACTGCCACTACTGATTTTGAAAGTTTTTGAGAAGTTGGATTTCTGTTAAACAGATGAGCACTCACTATCATCAGTGCCCTGATTGCTCAGCTTTGCTCAGGCCACGAACATTTGGGTACCTGGTACCAATGAAGAAACGAGCAACAGAAGTTCAGAATACAGTAGAGCACAGTTTCAAGACAGGAGAACCAGGTTAGAACCACTTCTCTAAATCAATACAGTAGGAGATCCGAGTTTTAAGTTTGCTACATCTCAGATTATATGTGTATACCTAGCTTCAGCTAACAGAGGAAAAAATACAAGCATTTTATGACTTGAAGACCAGATGCACAGTAAACTCTGAACTATGCATGGGCTGTTTAGGTTGCATGACATGAACACTTTGTTTTGAAGAGAATAAAATTTCTGTACTTCTGAGTACACACTGCTGCACTTGCTATTCACCAAACAGTTCACAAGTTTAAAGCAAACATTTTTCAATGTTTGCAGAAAAAAAGGTCTTGCAGACTACAGTACTGACAGTGCAAGGCTGACATTTGGAGCAGAGCAGTTTCTTCTACAATAAAATGATCCCTTTTACTTAAAATACTCCAGTTCACAATTCTACCAGTTTGAGATTCTTTTTCTTGAAGAGAAATGTCCTGATATAGCTGTAAAACTGTTTAAGAGTCTGCACACAGAAAATTCTTGTGAATTATTTTCAGAAGCTGAATAACTGAGCAGAGAGCTATTAGGCAGAACAAGGAAGAGAACATTCACTACAGCCTTAAAGCAGTGAAAGAGACAACAGATTACACCAAGGACTGACTGAGGTACAGTTATACCTCACAAGACATCTTGTGTGTGTGGCAGATTCACCAGAGACTGCTGTACCATATGGAGATACCAGACTGAGTCCAAAGGCAAAACAACAGAATTAGCAAGGCACGGTGCCCAAGTGAAAAACAGCCATTGGCAGTTTGGCAACTATTTCAGCTGCTAATTGAACCCCTCTGCAGCACGGACCGGCTACCCAAAGACAACCTGACTTGTCCTCCAGCATTATCCTGAAAGAGCAATGCTCCCATTACTCACTTTTCTTCATGGAATGACTGACACCTATTGGAATTTTTGAAGGTATTCTTTAAACCACCACATAAACTCCTCATTTGCCTGAGACTAACAACTTGCAGCAATGTTTATAAAACTTTTCATTTTCCAGGTTTCTTTCATTTTAAACTAAGATGATCCTGCAGACAAAACTAGTAATGCTTAAGATAATAAATGAACATTAGTGGCAGAAAGGTCTTTAGAAACCTAAAGTAATTATTTAACTCCTTTAAATAATAAAATACATTCAGTTCAGCTTTAAATAATGTTTGAATTAAGAGATTAGCTGACATAAAATAATCTACTGAGACAGCTCTTTCATAGACATGATTTGGAATTCTTGGCTGCAGTAGGACTAAGTACTAAGCAGCCCTTGGTGTGTGATAATGCCTACAAGGAACATTTCAAGTCTGTAAGAGTATGCAGTTCACAAACAAAATGATATAATAGGCATAATGAAAACAGTAAGGAGCCCTAATGTCATGGTTTTTAACTGGTTTTGGCAATATCCAAATAAAATTTCTTCTCTACCTTGGTAATACCTTATAACTGCTATTATACCAGAAATTTCAACACAATTTCTCAGAGCGTGATTTGAAATAAGCAGCCTCCAAAAGCAGAGAGAGAGAAAAAAAAAGGCAATTGAAAACTGGTTTCTTAAAGCCTCTTTTATGCAGAAGGCTATTTTAGCTAAGTTTCTGAAACACCATTTAAATAACCAGCCACATGCTGCCATTAATGCTGATAACCCTTTCTGTAGATTTTACTTCCCTTAGCTGCTCACAGCAGCACCTGACAGCACATGATCAGTGTCATGACACTGACATCACTCACAGCTCTAGATGTCAGAATAAGGAGTCCAGAGATGCTGGCGTGGGCCCACCCCTTTCCAAATGCAGCATTAATGAAGAGGGCCCTAATTATAGCCAACTAAGAATGGCACGAGTTTGTGATGTACAATACACAGACTTACTTTTCTCATACATTCTATGTGCACACAGGCTTAAGGTTACTTAAGCCTAAATGCACTCAAGTACTGTTAAAATATATTCTTCTTTCATACTAAGCTATATACTTAATCAGACTTTCAAGCTTGCTTCAATTCTCTAAACTCTGCTTTCAAGGAAAGCAGCTCTGTTGATTTTACCTAACCATCATTTTCTTCCATTTAACCAGTCCCATCTCATTTCACATGGTTAAGTTAGACAGTCTTTTAATATATCACATCTACATTCATCTCATGCCCAGACCTAAGACGTTCCAATCTTGTGCAGTCAAATGAAAAAACACAGGATTATTTTTAAATGAGCAGCTTGCTACAATCCATAAAGAAACCTGCTACAATATTTCTTTGTAGTCTACATTCACTCAAAGTGTAAGCAAACATCATTAATAATAAACATTTGATTCAGATAATGTCACATGCTCACTAGTAAGAAGTACTAACAAGTCCTCACAACAAAACTGTCAGAACAAGACAACTGTTTCCTATGCAATGATTGTGCTGAAATTGCATTAAGACTAGGAAAGAAAGAAATCAACAGGCATTCAAAATCTACCTGGCACAAAGACAGACTGCTTGTCAAGCAAGTTACTTCAATTCAGCTGTTATCTCCAGCTGCAAAACCTCCAATGACCAAGTGAATCAGCAATGATTTATTCTGGCTAAACAAGTCCTTGCTTTTATTACAGTACATTCAAATCTTTCACTGAAAAACCACTAGTGCAAATGACTTGAATACGGTCTCAAGGTACTTTTCAGTAAGTTGAGAACTGAGATATACCAAAGTTCAATACCTGAAACTAGTATTAAAGTCTATCTCTGTCCTTCCCTACAGGAGTGCAAACCAAAAGTAATTCCAGTAATTCCAGGTCAGCAGCATAGTATGACTTTTCACTTTTTTTCTGAGATAAGACTTCACCCTTGTCATCTATTAAAAGGGAATTAATACTAAAATCTCATTAAATCTCAAGCATATGTGAAGCCTCTATGTTTCTGTGTCCCAATCTTTCCAACATGCTATTATTTATGGAATGCAAAAAGGCAGAAGAAATGGTAATCTTCTGAAAAATACATTATCCTTGATACATGCTAATGCCTTGGCTGCCACTACAGGTGAAAAATATCAGAAACTTTAGATTAGAACTTACCCATTTTTACTAAATACCCGTATCCACGCTTGTATGTTTGGTCCCAGCAAACACAAACACTGTAAAGTAGTAAATGTAGACAGAAGAACTGCAAACAAGAACGTCTCAGTCACTGACCTACAAAAAGAAATAGAATATTAGAGAGTTATGTGAGGTGGTTGCTAATGTTCTAAAAGTTCCAAGATTTAGGAAGAATAAAGCCCCTCTAAGTCAACTCATGAAAGCATGTGTGCTTTCTTAAACTGCATATAGGAGAATAAAATATTTTCTTCTTAGTCTGTAGAATAGTAAAGGAAGCTGGAAAGAGTTCTGCTGTTGTCTTAGGAGTGAGATGTTGTAATTTTTTTAAATGCCTGATACATGTAAAATCATTTAAAAAACCCACAGGTGTACCTCACATAGATCACTAGTTCTAAATTGTAGTATGCTTGTATTTTTACTTCATTATTCCATTTATTTTTCCAGTTTGGTGTTGTGACAGCAACCATGAAACCAAACTACATGATGCTATTGTTAGTCAGTAACTTAGTGGATGTCTCAAAACCCCGGTTGCTTCATACTTTTCTTTAACTTTCAAAAAAGTTAAAACACTAATATCAAAAGAATGAAAGATATGCAAGATGTGCAGTTTAGAATCTTATAGGGAAAATGACTAAATGAAACTCCAAAAAATGTTTGTGCCCATATGTTTAGCATAAAGATTAAAGTAAAAGGAGTTGTTTGTAACTGTCCTACAATTTTATTTACAGAAGTCTCATTTAAGAGCTGGCTTCCAAAAAGAAACCAACTGAACAAGCAAACAAACAAACAAACAAAAAAAAAACCCCAAAACCAAGAGAAAGCCACCCTTATTCCCCCAGCTAGGAGCTTATCCCTTAACTTCCAGAGTACCAGAAAATACACAAGTATTACACAATACCAACATCTGCAAGGAGAGCTGCCCCTTAGAATGTTTAGAGAAAGAGAGGGTCTTCTGACTTACTCTATGAGAGGTGCTCCATAAAGAACAATAATCGCATGAAATAGTATGCAAGACATGAAAAAGTATATACAGCATTTTAGAAATCTGGATATCTAAAAAAGAGCAATGAAATATCAGAATAATGCTTCAAAACAGAACATAAGTAACACAGTCTATATCTTATCAACAGCATTGTACTCTAATTACTTCTTTAATTTCAGCTGCAGCACAATATAATACCATGGCATATTTCAAAACAGTTTTCCATATAATAATACTTTAAATAATTAATTAAAAAAGATCACATCCACCTACAATATTTTTTCATGCATCCCATTAAACAGGGCAAACATACAAAAAATAGAACCAGAAATTACAAGATAACCAGAAGCAATTTTATTGAATATTTTTACACTTCTGTTTTACATCTGACTGTCACATCCATTCATTAAAAGGCAACTCTCATAAAAAATAAAAAAAAAATTAAAAGCAAGAAAACACACAATATAAAAAAGTCTGCTACATAGAGAATCAAAATTACATTAACTAAAATTACATTTTGAACTTGACATCTGAAATTCTGATTATATTTGAGAAATAACCATAACTTTCTATAAGTCTGCAAAATGCAATTTTCTATGAACTTAAACAACGGTTTTTGGGTACTCACTATATCATGAAGAAGCAAAAACACTTGAAAAACAGTTCTGGTTAGGTCTGTTCTGATCAGGTCACCAATGCAAAATCCATAACTTTCCTTGAACCCTTATTTCTCTATATTTATTCCTTTCTATATATATTTCCTGGGATGAAATCTCACCTAGAACATGAAGTGTGCTTCATTTTTAAATCATGGATGGTTAAAATACTTGCTTTCCATCATGGTTTTGTGCATTTCACATCCTCCTCAGTCAGCAAAACTAGACAGAAGCTTTGCATACAAAGATAGGCTCGCTGGGACGATTAATTCAATGTTTAAGAACCACCTCAGAGCACTCACTACATCTTGCCTGGCTCAGCAAGTCAGGAGTACAAGATTATCCACCTGACTTCAAAACTCTGGGGTATTCCCCCACTGCTGGGCAAGTCCTGTGCTGCTCCAAAATCACTCTGTTCAAAAGTATTTTTGCTGAGATTCATACCTTTAATGCTCCCCCATTGCAAATCGTAACAACGAAAAGTTTCTCCCAACTTTAGATTCCTCTGTATGCAAATTTCATCATACAAGAAAATGAAGCCATTTTAATACTTTTCCATATGACTTTAAAAATTGTTCAAACGTAGCATAGTATCTCTTTTATGTATCAGATTCTGAATTATTTTTTTCTTTTAAAGTTATTACAAACTTACAACTACACAAACGTGTGATGACATTTCTTCTTGGTGTATCCACTTATCAAGATGAGCCAGGCCTGGACTACAAGAGTTCTGTGCCATTTAATTTTTGCCAGGTTTTGCGACTACGCAAATTCTTAGGACTACAAACAACATTGCATTGACAAGAAACAGGAATGCACAGAATCGCTCACCCGAACATGTTATTTATAGATAAAGTTTAACAACACGAAAATACTGAAAAATTTGTTTCAAAAGGTACTACACTCAACTCACTAATGGAAAATGAGAATTCACCATCAAAAATCATCTTCTTTTTCATTTGATTATTTCAGAGAATTTGCTTCCCCTCTGCATTGTCTGGTAGCAACTTAAGAATTAAAAAAAAAAAATCTTACCTTGTGAGCAAACGAACGTCTCTTAGGAGACTGATTTGTTTTAAGGATTAAGTGCAAGATTATATTAAGGGTAGCAACACAAACAGAACAAATACACAGCCACGTGAGGTGCGTTCCCAGGACGCTGAATCCGTCCAGGAAGACGGCCGGGACCACGGCGGCCAGGACGATGGCCAGAGCGCACAGGAGGTTGGCAGCCAGGAGCCTCCAGATTTCCGCCTCCCTCATGGTGTCCGCCAGCGGCACCTGCAAGACACCGAGTCCCGCCCCGTCACCGACACACCGCAGCGCCACAGGGCAGCATTTTCGCCAGCCGCGACGCGCAGGGCAGCGCTCCGGGCCCAGGTGAGGATTTTGGGGCAGGAAAAGGCGTTTGTTCAAAAAACCGAATCCCGCGCGGGCCGCAGGGGCCGCTCGCGCCTCTTACCGGGGAGCGCGCGGCGCCGCCCGGCAGCGGAAGGCGGCGGGGCCCGAGGGGCGGCACTTCCGGGGTGGTGCCGGAAGCGGCGGCGGCGGCTGCGGAGGGGCCGCCATGGTGTGCGACAAGTGTGAGTACCGGGGTGTGGGGGGCCTTGCCCGACCCGCCGGGTCCTGCCCTCACCGGCTCTGCCCGCGGGGATCCCGGGCTGCGCTGAGCGGAGCAGTAGCCGAGGGTCCCGGGCTGCTCAGGGCGGGCCGCGGGTGGCGGGTCCCGGTAGGGCCCTGTGTGAGCTGTCGTTCTCCCTTGTGTGAGCTGTCATTCTCCGCTGTGGAGCGTGTTAATGCGCATAGTTTAAGTGATTCTGTCCTGTGTCAGCAATAGCGTGAGCAGCAGGGCGGGGGAAGGAGTTGTCTCTCTGTACTGGGCACTGGTGAGGCCGCATCTCGAGTGCTGCGTTCGGTTCTGGGCCCTTCACTATAAAAGAGACACTGAGGTGGTGGAGCGGGTCCGTGGAAGGACAACAGAGCTGATGAAGGGTCTGGAGCACAGGGTGTGTTGAGGAGCGGCCGAGGGTGTTGGAGTTGTTTAGTCTGGAAGGGAGGAGGCTCGGGGATGGCCTTGTCACTCTCTGCAACTCCCTGAAAGGAGGGCTTAGCCAGGTGGGAATTGGCCTCTTCTCCCAGTCAACAGGCAACAGGATAAGAGGACATAGTCTTAAACTGGGCCGGGGATGTTCAGGTTGGACATGCGGAAAAATTTCTTTACAGAAAGGGAGATGAGAGATTGGAATGGGCTGCCCAGGGAGCTGGTGGTGGAGTCACCGTTTCTGGAGGTGTTTAAGGAAAGCCTGGACGTGGCACTCGGTGCCATGGTCTGGTTACATGGTGGCGATCAGTGATGGGTTGGACGCAATGATCTCAAAGATCTTTTTCAACCTAATTGGTTCTGTACTCCTGAGTTTTTTTCCTTTGTAATGTGTCCTTATGTAGGTGAGAAGAAGCTTGGAACAGTGATCACTCCTGATACGTGGAAAGATGGTGCAAGAAACACTACAGGTAACCTCGGCAAGGTTTAGCAACTTGGTTTTGAGGTATTATAAAGCCATTTGGGCACCTGAACTATGTTACCATCTTAAGACCAAAACTTTTTATTACTAATCAGGTTAAATATTAAGTCATGTACTTTCCCTCCCATGCTGATTTAATGCAGTTGGAATTTATTTGTCCAGGACTCTTCAGTATTGAATTTGCCTGGTTTATTTTTCTGTTTGTTTTTTTTTCTTCTTACATGGGAGGACAATACATAGAGTCTTTAAATGGAGTATAAAATGTTCTGTTACCCTATCCCCTGATGCTGTGCTAAATATTTTAATCTCTCTTTGTGACTTTTATTTGCATACGTGTAAAAGTTGTAAATGAAGATTCTTAAAGTATGCTTGGATTCTTAAAGTATGCTTGGGGAAATTTATTTGGTTATTGATTTTTTTTTTTGTAGAAAGCGGTGGTCGCAAATTAAATGAAAACAAGGCATTGACCTCAAAGAAGGCAAGGTTAGTACTTGAAAGAAACAGATTTTGGCTAAGAACATCAATTAGCAAACTAACTGAGGCCTGTTTCTTGCATACCTGGGCAACTATTCCAAACTTGTCCAAAATACGCTTAATAAATTAAAATTGCAGGGATTATAATATTTGATTCGTCAGTAAAAATACATCCGTACATATTTCATGGGTGCTTTCTGCTCAGTCATAGAGTGTGGGCAACTATTTTACTGCAGTTCTCACTGGAATTACTAGAATTTGATGCTTTTGTAGGAGAGAAGCTGAGAATACTTATTTTCTGTGCTAATATTGCCAGGATAATCTCTTGAGCATTGACTTCATGTCTGTGGGACTTTTGTTTGCAATGAGGCAAGATGCTGCTGGAAGGTGTTTAAGTTCAAAGTCATGTAGTATCTTAATAAAAATGAACATTTTTAGTTCTACTTTCCTGAAGTTGCTGTCTATGATAGAAGAAATGTCTCTTAATGGGGAAAGTGGGGCTTTTCTACATACTTTGTGTAGCCTGTTAGAAATAATTCTTGTATGTCCCTTTTCTAAATTACAGTTTTTGCGGGAGTTTCTGACTGCACCCTCTGGCTTAGACTTTTTAGGATAAGGCAGAAAAACCCCTTCATTTCAAGGTGAATAAATAAAATACTTTTCCTTTTTCCCAGGTTTGATCCTTATGGAAAAAACAAGTTTGCAATATGTCGGATTTGTAAGAGTTCTGTCCATCAGCCAGGGTCCCACTATTGTCAAGGATGTGCCTATAAAAAAGGTAAGTTCTACTGTGTGCCAAAATGCCAGTTTGGCTTGGAACAGGAGAGGAGGTACAACACTTGAACTTGTATTTATGAAGGAAAGGCTAAGATGAGATTCTATTGCTGTCTTCAACTACTGATAGGCAGGCACGGGGAACATGGAGTCAGACTCTTAGGTATACAGTAATAGAATAAGAAATAGCATACACAGGTTAGAATGTGAAAAATTCTAATTACTTACAAGGAAAGCAATTTTTCAGTCTGGGAGTGACCAAATATTTTAGTAATAGGTACCATCAGAGGCTGTGAGATCTTTACAGGAGGTATTCAGAGCATAACTTGAACAGTCCTGAGTCAGCCTTATCCAAGTTGGCTGTTTTGAGTGGGGCAGACCTAGAGACTGAAGGAGATTCTTTAAAACCTTTGCCATTCTGTAATTCTGCTTCTTTTAGAATATTTCTGGTATCTGAAGCAGTACATTTGAAAAATAACTCTAAACTTAATCTTGGCAATTGCATAGAGAACTGTCATCTAGCAAGTTTGATTTTCCTTAATTTAAAAAACCTCAGATCTTGTAAAACTCAATTGCTTGTTGCAGTCCCTTTTCTGGTCCCTTCTCTTCTCTCTCCTTTTTATAATAGCTAAATCTAAAATTCCTGGATGGAAGAAAAGCATAATGAAGTCAGTTACATGATTTAATGCCAAGGAGTTTTTATAGTACATAAGGTGAACTGATCTTTAGATGTGGAGCTACAGCTAGCCAGTAGTAAGCTTTGTTTATGAAATTATTTATTCAATAAATATGTGCTGTGTCACTGAGTCAGTGGTTTAGCAGCCTGCTGTAGGAATGTTGTCTGCTAGGTCCTCCCCAGATGGCTGCCTGAGCCCCATAGGGTAGAACCTTGTACTCTTCCTTAAAGTTATGTCTGGTTTGGGTGGGCTTCAGGATTTGATCTTTGTCTGTTTGTGTATCCTTCTAGATTAAACCTGTTATTTTAATAAAATTAAGAACTTTCTAAGTGCTTTAGGTTCTAGCTCTGACCATCAAAGATGTAATCAGGGCATACTCCTTGAAACAAATGCAGTCATACAGCTCACTGCTTCAGCTATTGCATATCTTTGAAATTGAGAGGCAATTTCAAGTTAATTAGTCCTCAGTTTAGACCTGAAGTCAATATTTAGTGGGCTGAATTTTGGTCTCCAGAGTAAATCATGTGGCATGTTCCCTGCTCTTCTCTTCCTTAATGGACTCCTAGATAAGTGTCCAGTCATGATGTCTTATGTATGAAAAAACACAATTTGGAGAAAGCAGGAGTAGATGCTACTTGACATTTTTTGTTTGCTGGTAAATGTTTGTAAATTGAAGTGTGGTCATACCAGATAAAAGACTTAGCACCTTTCTACTTTTGAAAGGAGAGGGAAAGATTGAGACAACCCACCCCTCTGCCAGCTTGTGTACATTTTGGTTCTATGGTCTTTTGACTTGACACTCTTAGAGTTTAGAACAAAGTCCTTTGGGACATCAGTGTTCATAACTTCAACTCTCAAGTATTCTTGGTGTTCATTGTTTTTCACTCCTGCTCTATAAATACCTTAATTCTATGAAAACATATTCTAAACTTTCTCAGTTCTCTGAAGCACTCTACCTGTTAATGCCCCATTTAGCAGTCAGTTTGTTGGTGACTGTATTTTCTTAGCCCTGCTTCTTTCTGCCCATCTCAGGCCTCCTTTGGCTACAGGACTTAAAACGATTAACCATAGACCATTTTTACCTTTTTGTCAGAAATGAGCCTTTCCTGGCTCTCTTCAGGCGTTCCAGCAAATTATAGAGGCATCCAGCAGTATTGTGAATAATAATGCTCTCAAAATAGAGCTTATTTTCTTTAGTGGAAGGATTACACACACTCTGCACATATCCATTTGTATTAGGAATTATAGCATTACTTCTGTGTTTGTAGTACCTGTTGAGAACATGTCTGAGAACAGATAGATTGCCAAGAAGAGCTCATTTGAACAATTTATTGAAAAATATCCTTACAAAAACATAACAACTGTGTTTTTGAGGAAAGATTTTAATAATTCTAAAATAATTTACACACTTTTTGTGTGCTTGTAGGCATCTGCTCAATGTGTGGCAAGAAGGTCTTGGATACGAAGAACTACAAGCAAACATCTGTCTAATTGTACTGACTAGTCTTTTTATGAACTTTAGCTTCTGTGTCTTTGTACAGTAACTTTCCTCTAAAATAATTTGTGAATATTACTTTCTGGAAGAAAAGTAATGTACTTTTTCTGGAAGATAGTACATTTACTTGGAATGAGAGGTAAAGATAGCCTGCTTGCCTAAAATGTACATAATATTTGATTATTATTGTTTTAGCACTAATATTAACTGGTATTTAAAGGTAATGGCTTTCAGCAATTGATACAGTTCAAAGGGAAGGAGAAGATCTGAGTGGATAGGTTGAAACCTCAGAACACAGATCTTTGAGTTTAATACTTTTTTTCCCTATCACGAGTCTTCTGCTTATCTCATGGTAGTGTTTTGTACATGTATAAAATATGAACTTGCATCACCTCATTAAAGTATCTTCATTTAATTGTATGCCTATAAGTATTTGTAATTATTCTTCATCCCAAACTATTATGACCTTGCTCTTCAGATTTTAATGCAATTGTCCTGTTGTATTTTGTTTCTGACTACAGTATGGTTGGTTAAATCACAAATGGTTAAGCTAGTGAAATCTGGTGTGTTGTCCTGCCACTTCTTTCTTTGGCATTGTTGTGGTTTAGCCCCAGCCAGCAACCAAGCCCCATGGAGCTGCTGCCTCACTCCCCCACAGTCAGGGCTGGGGAGAGAATTGGAAGGGTAAAAGCTTGAAAACTTGTGGGATAAAGATAGTTTAATAGGAAAAACAAAACAAAGAATTAATTCACTATTTCCCATGGGCAGGCAGGTGTTCAGCCATCTTCAGGAGAGCAGGGCCCCGTCACCTGTTATGATTTCTTGGGAAGACAAACCCATCACTCAGAATGTACTCCCTTCCTTCTCCCACTTTATACACTGAGCATGGTGTCATATGGACTGGACTATCCCTTTGGTCAGTTGGGGTCACCTGTCCTGGCTGTGTCTCCTCCCAGCCTCCCAGATAGCCCCAACTTCCTTGCCAGTGTGGCAGTACAAAAGGCAGAAGAGGCCTTGGCTCTGTGTAAGCCCTGCTCAGCAATAACAAACATATCTCTGTATTATCAACTCTGTGTTCAGCACAAATCCAGAACACAGCACCAATAAGCCACTAACGCTGAAGAAAACTTATCTCCACCCCATCCAAAACCATCACAGGCATTAGGACTGATCAGCTATTCCCATGTTAGCCTCCAAGGAGACTTTACCTATGGTATCAGGTAGCCCAAGGCAATAAAATAATGAGCATCAATTTCTAAATATCTCAGTCTCATAATTTTCTAGGTTCTGTCTTTTAAATACGTGGTTTAAATTCTATGATGTAATTACTTATATACATGTCAAATTTAAAAGATCAAAGCAGGCTGCCTGCTTTTCAGCTCTGGTTTGATACAAGAAGTTAGTCTCTGAACATGAGAGGCTGACTGTGGCTCTGCAATTCTTTTGACCTGTGTTTAGTTTCTACATATTAAAGCAATTTCTGTTATGGAGCATAATAATTACTCCCTCTGCATGTATTTTAAGAATCATTCATTCTTAGTTCTTAATAAATGGTTTAATTTTTAATTCATTCTTAATTTTGAGCAAAGAATTATTCCTTCTTAATTCATGGTGGAGTTTTTACTAGACCTATTGAAGGGCTTACTCCTCCCTGCAACCTCCTCTTGGCAATTTCATGCTTCTGCAACTGTCCTTCAACTATAAAAGAAAAACTATCAATGGGAATTTCCCTGTGAACGGATACTCTGTGTTTCCTTTTGTTCTCATATTAGTACAGAGGAAACTGCATGATTAATGGAAACTGAAAAAATTGCTGTTCTCTCTGTGGGGCAAAATGAAGAACACTGGGCATACAGTTATCCTCTTTGCTGTTGCCTTCCTGCCATGCTCTAGGTGTGCTGCAAGTAGCCCTCTAAAGGGGATTGTCTGACATTTCCTGTCATCCTGAACTATCCATTATTGAGCATTTATCACTAAAGTTTCTCGTTCAAACGTGTTGGCTTCCTGCAGTTGCTAAAGAGGTAATTATTTTTGGCACTTTGTATTTGCTGAGAAGCTTTGTCAGGATAGTGGAATGAGCTGGGCCTCCCCAAAAGAGGAGAGGAATGCTGCTGCTTTTTTTTTGTAAAAGCTTTTCCTACTGTAACAACTGCATGGAGGTACATGGATTAGCTAGCTGGTGATAGCCTGGTGGTGGCCACTTGTTTCCTAACACATCAAGGAATTCCCATATTAGTGTATATCTCAAAGACACATCCTTTTTATGGCTGAGAAGAAAATGTCTGTAATTGGCTTCAAGTTTCGCAGCAAATCTTGTCAGAAGTGTATGTGACCATTTCAGGTGACAGATTCTCCAATAATCCTTGAACTCTTTATGAATATGTGTTATAAAATTGATTGATTTTTGCTATTCTGTGAATGAAACTTCTCTTCCTAAAACTGGCCAGTATTTCCATTTCAAAAGCATGACATCATCATTCTTGAATGAATTGGCATGAATTGAATGTTTATTGCACTCTATAAATATTGGCATTGAATGAATACCTCCTTTTGAAGGAGGTATTGAAGAACAACAGGAATTTAAATAATGTGATGCTTGGTTTATAATTATTTTGTGAATTGACCTTTTGTACATTTGTATCCTATTGCTGACAGCTGCTTTTGCATGTTAGAATCTGCTTTTGTTGTAAAAGGATAGGTTTTGATTTGGTGGGGTTTTTAAAATGGTGGATACAAGCTCTTTTGTCTTTCTAGTGGTTTTTAAATGCTCAGGATCTTTCATCTGTAGCTCTCAAAGCTCCTCAGCTTCAGGAGAGTATCAGTTCCAGAGATCTGTAAAATTTGCTGATATAACACTCAACTTTCAGAAAAGCTATTTTTTAAGCATTGTTTTGAAGTCTCAGTGCTTTAAATTTAGATCACAAGCCATCCACCTCCTGAACCTCAGAGATGTACCACAGTTCAAGGCAGCCTTGCTAGAGAAGCACTTAAGGGTAGCTATTAAACTTATATACACCCTCAGTATAATTGAATTGTCATGTAAAAGCATATTGTTGATGCTAAAAATGTTTTGTAAGCATGAGATGTCTTTCCTGGAACATTATGCAGTGAAAAACAAAAGAAAATTTGTAATGGAAAATTGCCAATTTTGTTTAATGTACTGAGAAGAACAAAGTAATATTCCCAGATGATCAGTCTGTGCTCTAAATCACGGGTTACATAAGAAATTGTGCTGCCAGATTTAGTAGGATTAGAATTTTCCTCGGTACTGCTGAATTCTTACACTGTCCTTGCTGTTCCTCTTGGTGTTCATTGGCCAGAACTATTAGTGAGCTAAGTGTAAAAAACATTTTGGTGCAGAGTATTAAGACAATAGATTAGCTACATAAAGTCAGTGTGACTGGAGAAGCCAATCAGATGAAAATTAAACAGGATTGAAGAATCCTTTTTGTGTCAGGGTGGTCTCCCATTCTTTCCCATGTTGATTTATTTTTTAAAATCTGCTCTTCCTGCTGCAGAAGCTGGAAAGAGGACCATCCAAGAATGATCATTTGGCAATACTGTCCCAAAGCATTATGACTGTTTTAATTGTTTACTTGTAGAAATGTGGTGGTGTTTTTTCCCCTCTTTGGTTCATTCTCTTCCTTCACCAGCAGAATAATAACCAGAAAGACTTTGTCTTCTATACAAGGATGTCACTGACCACTTTGCATTCAGTTTTTCTTGAAAAAGGCCCAGACTTGCACTAAAATCTTCTTTTCTTTTTTTCTTTTTTTTTTTTTTTTTTTTTTGGCAAAACAAGAGATGTACAGGTTTCAAATGGTAAGTCTCTTGCACCTGCTTCTTCTGGCATCACTCCTATCATCAGCTCATCTCTCTGCAGTGCCTCAGATTGTACAAATATTCCAGTTCTGCTCCATCCAGAGACACTTAGGCCGTGACCCTCTGCCAATCTCCCCACAGTTCTGGGCAAGAATGACTGGTGCCTTTGTATTTTCAGTGGTCATTAAAGCTATATGCAAAAGTTGAAACACAGCTGTTCAAAGTAGTGCAATGAGCCATGCTTTATTTTCCTGATATAAAGCTGTAAGTTTCCTACATACACAAGGTTCCCCAGCATGAGAGATTCATTATCACATAGCAAAGAGTACAAGCTCTTTACATCAATAATGACAAAATTTTGTTTATGATAGGGCCTCTATTCTGTGAATAAAATTCTGGAGCTACCAAAGTCTTTAGAAATCTCCTTGACAAATCATTGCTTTTCCTGGATTGGAACTGGGCTTCTTGATTTTGTGTAAGTATATACGGCCTAAAGATGTGCCTTTTTCTATCATTTGCTTTGAATGCTGGAGAATCCAAGAGTGGTTGCTCCCCAGGCACTGACCTACCCATTGCTTGATCTATTCAGTGAGCACTGATTCAGCATGGGATCATGAACTTATATCTCCTTTGCTTAAGAGTTTCTCACTAGATCACTGGTTTAGAAAATAAATGTGGCCAGGTGCAAAAGGGAATAGTGGTGACAGGAAAACTCTCCCTGAATATCATGAAAGAATGAAAACATTGCTGCATCACACTGACGTTTGCTATTAAGCAAAAGTGTTTTTTCTCTCCTGATCAGCAGAACTGATTGGACAATATGAGAAAGCCTGATGGCAGCCCTTACAAATAACAAACCCAAGTGTTTCTTTTTTTGTGAGAGTTACAGCTGTGCCTCATATGAAGACCAGTTGGTTTTGAACTGCTTGTCTTCCTCCCAGATGTGTGCTTTTATGGATGAAGCTGTCAATCTGAAATGCATCAGGAGCTAGTTTTCTATCAACTTTTATCAAAGAGGCCATAGTTTACTTTGCAGAATGTGTATTCATCATGTCTGGCTAATGCAGAAAATGCAAGTACTGTTGACAGTGTTACTTACTGTGCTTACTTCTTGCACTTAAGGGCAACAGAAAAAGTTGTGTTTATGGGACCTGGAAAAATCTGAAATTTTCCCAAGCAAATGAAGAAAAATATGGATGAAGTACTAACCATGTGGGTATTGGTAGTAAAAGTTACTTTGTTACATGGTTCAGGAAGACGCTAGTGACATTTGATTTTTTGCCTTGATGCCATTCATTTGTGATAAACAGCAAGTAGGCACTTGTTTTCAGGCACTGGTGACTCGGTGATCAAAAAACTACCTAATTAGGCAGCAATTTTCAGACTGGCTTTCTAGTAGAAAACTTCTCAAAACTATTCCTTCCTTTCTGTCTCTCTCTTTGCACTAAAGGATGCAAGCTGAACTTAGCAATGTTAGTGACTCGTTAGGCATTGGCACTTCCAGCAGATGCACTTGCTGTGTGCTCATCTGCCAGCTTCCATTGGGAAAACAAATGTTGAGTAGGGTTTGTTTTCTGCATCATCACGGAGTTGATGATTCAATTTCAATACTGTTAACTGCTTCAGGTCACACGCAAACACACAGAACTCCCATTTGCCATTTTCTACTGGCTAATAAGTCCCATCCCATGCATCTTAAATATATCATAACCAGCCCAGTCTCCAAGAAATCATTACTTGCTGTTGATTTTTGGCTGCTCCTTTTGCTGCCATAGACGGTAAAGATTTTAAGTTGATACAGCTGTCAGATTGTCATGAATATTTACTGTTCTGATATGTTTACTGCTGTTCAGTAACACAGCAGTGCAAATAAGACTGTGTGACAAAAGGTGTGGTTCTCAGGGAGTTGGCTTCTAGCCCAGTCCAATTGTCATATTTTATTGTTTAAATATTTAAATGCTAATTGGATTAAGCAAAGACTTTACCCTGACATCTTACATTTTCTGTCTTTCTGTGGGAGGTTTTTGAAAAAGTGATGACATGATATTTCAGTGATGAATAGCTTTCATTTTATGGCTTTCTAAAGCATTATTTCCTAAAGGATGTGAAGTAAAAACTGATATAAGGGAACAGTTATTCTACTGATTTTCAGAGTGGTTTGGTTTGGTTGTTATTAGAGTTCCAAAGAAATCTTTGAAAGATCATATTTTGTTTATGAAGTGTCAGCCTGAATTTGAAATTAACCTGAAGCTGTGACTGAGTTGCTCTACCTTAAAATAGGTCCTTGTTTGGATAATGAGATATTAATAACACTAATTGCTGTTATCATCAGAGTATGTGAAATATAAATTCAGAGACTCGCCAAACGGGCACATTTCCAAGCCTAGCTTAGAAATAGTGCACAGGTAAGTAGATCAGTATGAATTTATATAAATCCATAAATCTCCAGGCTGCCCTGGAGACGAAGAAGGGTGCATCAAGAACACAGTCCATGTGGCATCCTACAGGGCTGTTGTGGAGGCACTGGGCAAAGAAATTCCTGCTGAAGAAAAAACTGTCTAAAAAGCTAAAGAAAAAAGTGTCTGCTAATGAGGGCAGCAGAATTCAGATTCTAGAAGTCAGAGTATTTAAATTTACTTTCTGTGGCAGATTCTAAAACATTACAGTGAACTGTGTGAGTGAATCTTTGAAACTTCTAGGAAAACTGTAGAGAACAGCAAATGCAATTTATTTATCAAATTATAAACGAGCTTGC